CCATAAAAACATGTGGAGAAGCAACTAAGGCAAGAGGACATTTAGACTATAACTATAGTTGACCCTTGAAAAATGTGGGGATTGGGGGCACTGACCCCTGCACAGCCAAGAATGTGTGTAACTTCTGACTCCTCCAAAGCCTGTATAACTACAGGTGGCCCTTCGCATCCAAGGCTTCAAATAGTGTTTTCTACCTGAGGTTGGGAAGCTGTGGTTGGGAATGGGAAAATACTGTTTCTATTCAAGGCTGGTGGAACCCACTGATGGATGGGAAACTCCAGGATACGAGGGACAACTGTATTTACGGAAAAAAAAACCACCCAAGTGTAAAGTGGATCAGTTCAAACCGTGTTGTTCAAGGTCAGCTGTGCTGAGACTTTGTGAGGACCATTTGAGTTTGGGTTTGAGCAAGGTGACCCTTCCCTAACCTTAAAACTCTCTGAAGATCCTTGGGGGCAGTTGCTCCTGTGTTGGTGAGGTGACTCCTCCTGGAATGGAAGCGTGTGTCTTCCTGTATTTGTTCCCTAGCAACATGCTCTAGCAACAGGCAACATTCTGTTTGTGCTGGCGGCTGGAGATCAGCTCTTGGTTGGTTGCCTTTTCTCCTAACGTGCCTCCTCACGTAAAAAGGTACATCGCATGTTAAATGTGAACACGATTCCTTCATCTCCCCTTGCCTGCATCAATACTGTGATTACTCTATCATTTGTTTGGAGTATGTTATTTCTTTATTGGCTTGTTAAAGAGATATTATGCTGTATGGTATTGACTTGTGAAATTATTATAATTTTCACAGATAAATTGCCAGCAAAGATAGAATCAGTTTCTAGGTATAACTTTTTTAAAAAATATTTTTTACTGATTTCAGAGAGGAAGGGAGAGGAAGAGAGAGATAGAAACATCAATGATGAGAGAGAATCATTGATTGGCTGCCTCCCACACACCCCTCACCGGGGACCGAGCCCACAACCCAGGCATGTGCCCCCGACCAGAATCGAACCTGGGACCCTCTAGTCCGCAGACCGACACTCTATCCACTGAGCCAAACTTGCCAGGGCTCTAGGTATAACTTGACTGCCAACAAAACAAAACAGCATTAAATTAGCTATAGTCATATGAATAAATAGAAACTATTAAATGAATGACTATCTCTCTGGCAAGTGCTTCCCATATACTTTCCCCCTCCCTACCCTCTCCCCAGCTTCATGGTCTATGGGACAGTATCATGAAAATTTTTATGGAGTCATGTAGCAAGAGCTTTTCAAAGATTCAGTCCTAAAACTTCTCAGATCCTTTCATTTTGGTGAAATCCTTTCTTGTTTTGCCTCTAGACTTATGTTCTCTTTCTCTTAGCAGTTGCCATAGCTCATTACAGTTTCTCTATACTTGGAGGTTTCTGACTCTCAGGTCTGTCTGGGGAGACCCATGAAATCTCCTTAGTACATCCTACATTCTGTACCCAACATGGTAAATATGCAGTCATAAGGTATCCCATTGAGTTCAACAAATACTGGGCACCCACTCTCGGCCACACACCCATGAAATCTTGAGAATACAAAGACAAGTATGTAAGGTTCTGGACTTCAAGGGGCTTACAGGATAGTGATATTGATTTATCAAGCACGTATCCAGGATGTGTGGCAGCACAAAAAAGGCGGCAGGGAGAGCTTCCTGAAGAAAATCACTCTTGTGCCAAGTGTTGAAGAATGTATAAGATTTCAGTGACTCACTGGAGTGGTGGTGGAGGGGTTGTAGTGGTGGTGTAGTGTTTTAAGTAGAAAGAACAACAGATGTTAGTGTGTGTGTGTGTGTGTGTGTGTGTGTGTGTGTGTGTGTGAGATGGGGGGAGGGGTGGGGCAGGAAGGTGACAAGAGCAGCTAGGTGTTATTAGAGCATAAATTATAAGTTGAAAATTAGACGTGGGTAGGGAGCAGGTAAATAAATGGTTATTTATTTTGCAGTACTGCTCAAGGTAGATAAAGAAATTACTTCTCCAGCCGAGGGCTGGTCAGCAACATGCTCTCGTGGACAGATCCATGGCTGACCCCAAGGCTGCAGTCCTCCAAGCCAAACTTCCCCTCATACTTCCCCTATCCTTTTCCCTTCTGTTGTCTGTCCCCCTCCAGGAGCCTTTAGACAGTAAGGTCAGGGGTTATTCTTCCTTCACTTGGGGGGAGTCATGTGCATTTGCTCATCTTTGGACTCTGCTTCAGCACAGCACTTCCAAGAATGCTTTTTACACAATGCTTGAGATAGATGAAATAGGTAGAGTTTTGCCTTTTTAGGGAGAAAATAATTGGGTTTCTGTGAGGAGAGTTGCTTCAAATTCTCTCCCCATAAATCAAATACTCTGTCTTCCATCATTTCTGGTTCTTAGTAAAAACTAGAGGCCCGGTGCACAGATTTGTGCACATTGAAAGGAAATTAATTAGAAAGTGACCAGCAGAGTAGAACTGAGCGAGATGGGCCGGACACGCCCTGGAGCCAACCTCCCCCAGTCCCTTCCTGGTTAGCAGCACCTGGGGCGGTGCCAGGGCTCGAAGGGTGCCTGCAGAGTGAGCGAGGTCCCTCTGTCAGGTGGGGTCCCTCAGCTTGGCCTGTGGGATTCCAGCCAACGCCAGCAGTCTGACATCCCATGAGAGGTCCAGGAGTACGAGAGGGCACTCTGCAAAGTTGCTGTCGCTCTGCAGCTCCTGCATTGAGCATCTGCCCCCGGGTGATCATTGCATGTCATGGCTGGTCGCTTAGGCTTTTATATATTAAAAACTAGAGGCCCAGTGCACAAAATTCTTGCACAGGTAGGGCCCATAGGCCTGGCTGGCAATCAGGGCTGACTGGGGTCTTCCTTCCGCCAGCTGCCGGCTGCTGGCCAGGGCCTTCCTTTGTTCTGTGCTGCCCCCTGGTGGTCAGCGCACATCATAGTGAGCAGTCGGACTCCCAGTTGGTTGAACTCCCGAGGGGAAAATTTGCATATTAGCCTTTTATTATATAGGATTATCTCTACTGAACAGAACCATTGATCCCTATAGATGGTTAGCATAATCATCTAAATTTTGCTGTTTGGATAGTGCCTATTCAACATGTAGGAGGTTGGAGGTAGACAGGAGCAATTTTAGAACAGTAACACTTTTATGTGAGGTGTTTTAGGAATTCAGGGCAAGATAATTTGCTTCGAGATCACTTCCTATTTTAGTGTAATTGACAACTTCTTTAGTTCTTAAAAGCATTTGATGTGTATACTTAGATATTAAAATACAAATGATTTAGATTGTTAGATCTTTGAGGAAGGGATGACCTCATTCACCGGGACATTCCTAGAGAGCACACTGGCTTGCCTGTGGAAGGCTCTCAGTAAATGTATGCTGAATTGAACGGAATATAATCAAACGGAAGTTCACTCACTAAAGAAGTCCCACTGAGCTAGGAGGAATTGCTATAACCACCATATCAGCAGGGGTCTTTGTGATCCAGATACGGAGATAGGGTAGAATACTGAGGCCAGTGGAGGTCATTTAAGGGGATAGGAGGACCCCAAAGATAAACTTCTTCACAATTTTGCAGTTGAGTGGGGTTGGTGGTAGCCAGGACCTTTTCTCTCTAGGAAATCAGGAGCCGTTGCTATATACCAACCAATTCAACTGCCAACTTCTCCAAAATGCCCACTCTTTCCCTCCTCCAAGGCCAGATCTTTGCTTATCCTGTTGCCTTTTTTGGGAACCCTTTTCTCTTCCA